TTTTCCTGTTATTGATGTACGATTTAATTCCATGTGGTTACAGAACATCCTTTGTATAATTTGAATCCTTTTGATTTTTTGAGAAGTATTTTGTGACTGAATGTATTCTGTCTTAGGAAATGTTCTATGTACATTTGATAAGGATGTTGATAAGGATGTGTATTCTGCTCAGTTTGGGTAGAGTACATTTTTACCTGTCAGATTGTCCAGTTTGACTGACTACTATTAACTATTATATCCTTGTTGATTTTCTATATTTTCTCTGTCAATTTATTATAAATTATTATATTTCATGATACTTATGAATTTATACATTTCTCCTTGCATTCCTATCAGATTTTGCTTTATGTATTCTGATGCTGTGTTAATAGGCGCATAAATTGGACTTTTTGGTCCTCTTGGTATAACATTCCCTTTATTGTTTGACAATTCTTGATAATATTCTTTGCTCTGAAATCTATGTAGTCATTGTTCTTAGTAACAGTTTTACTCTAAAACCTACTTCATTTGATGTTGGTTTACCTACTTTGGTTTTATTTTCATTGCTGTTTTATGGTATATCTTTTTCTGTACGTTTTCTTTTGACCTGTTTTTGTATGTGTCCTTGTATTTAAAGTAGGGGTCTTATAGGCAGTACTTAATTAGTTTAAATAACAAACCAAGGACTAATAGTCTCTATCTTTTAATTGGGGTGTTTAACTATATTTATTCAATATAATTATTGATATGATTTTGTTCAAATACACCACCTTGCTGATTTAAGTTTCCTATTTGTTCTATTTATTCTTTATTCCCTTTCCCTAGCTTTTCTGCCTTAGTTTAGTTTAGTTTCTTTTTTTAATTATAGTTTGACACAATAGTTTTCTAGTTTTTTTTTTTTGTGTGTGTGTGTGGTGCTAAGGTTCAAACCCTGGAAGCACATTACTGCTGAGTCACAACCCCAGCCCCTAGTGTTTCCATTTTATGCCCTTCATTGGTCTATTAGATATTCCTCCACAGGGCATTGTTTTAGTTTTTGCTTCAGTGTTTATAGTACACACTCTTAACTTATCAGAGTCTGCCTTCACATGTTATTGTAACCCTTAACATTTCAGATAGTTTCTATTACTATGTCTTTAAGGTCAGTTTTTTTCTGTATTGCCTAATAAAAAATTAATTTGTCTTTGCAGTCATTTTTCACTTCTAGAATTTCAGCTAGAGTTTTCTTTATCTTTCCTGTCTGAACTTTTAAGTTCAGATTGTCCTCTAGATTTTTGAACTCATTTTTGAACAAGCTGTCTTAAATATCTGCATCTACTAATTCTATCTAGTATGTCAAATCGAGGTCAGCTTCCATTTATTTTTCTATTTTGGATAGTTTTCTCCTCTGCATGCTTGGTATTTTTGACGGTAGACACTGTATTTTATCTTGTTGGTGCTGGGTATTTTTGTAAATACACTTGAGCTTTATTGTGGGGCATGTGCAAGCTATTTGTAAACAGTTTGATCCATCTGGTCTTGCTTTAAGCCTCCTTGGGGATGAGAGCAGTGTTCATCTAGGGCTACTTGCCACCGCGGAATATCCCGTTTACATTTGACCCTGTGTATTGTGAAGTTTTCTAGTTTGACTGCTGGGAAAGGTCTGTTTCCAGCTCTGTGTGGAGCCTGCTGACTGTTCCCTCCCATGTTTCCTGGTGTTCTGCCTCAGATTCCTCACATGTGTACAGTGATTGTGCTCTCCTCAATGCTTGAGCAGTAAGTACCCTTTGCAGTTCTCTGAAATTCTCTCTGTGCCACTCTCTCCTTGTGCTCTACCCAAAGACTCTAGCCTTCTGTCTTCCATTGACTTCCAGCTCTGTCTCCTCAATGTAGGGAGACTGTTGGGCTTGTCCTGTGCCTTGTCTGAGGACATTTTTCTAGGCATTTCGCTTGAGCATTGAAGGATTTATCTCAGTTTCTTTCTTCTTATTTCTTTGGGATAACTGTATTTGTTGCCTGATGTTCAACGTCTAAGACACATTTATTTCCTATATTTTTCCTTTTTTTAAAAAAAATACTGGTGGTGATGGAAATATGGTTCCTGTTACTCTGCCTTGGCTAGAAGCAGAAGCCTTCCACTAGAATTTTGACTAAAATATAAAGAATAGACTATTTGAAGGTGTTAGGAAAGGATTATGAGATAAGCACCAGTAATAATGGCAAACTTAAAGTTCAAGAAACGTTTGGATCCATGGGAAAGTTCTTACTGTTAAAGCACAGAAACCATTACCTTCTAGTGAACTCTTAAGGGAGAGTACTTGAAGAGGATCCCTTCAAAGCCCCCCTTCAAGACACCCAGGCTGCCTTTACTTCTCCCCTCAAGCATACATGTTCTTGTTGGCTATGTGTGATGTTGGGCTGGAAGAGCCATTGATAAGTCCATGCCTGTGTTGCATCTAGAGAGCCTCCAGCAAAGTAGCAAAAAGGAGGAGACCTACTGTGTGCTTACTGCATGCACTAGCCTAGCATACCTCATCTCCATGGTGTCATGTGGAAATGTGGGGGGCCGAAAATATCCTAGTTAAATACATTAGCTGTACCTTCCCTCTTTTTCTCTCTTTTTATTTTAGAGAAATGCCATGGCAATGGAGGACAGTTAGAGGAACTAAAAATAGCATAGAGAAAAAAGCCTCAACAGCAGGTCATGAGGGTCACCTCAAAACAGTGGAAGGGACCATCCATGTAGAGGGGGGAAAGGCTGTTCAGATGATCCTGTGGGAGGAAAATTAAGATGAGAAGGTAGAAGCGATGCAGTACCCTGTTGAACTCAGTACAGGAAGACCTTACAGTAAGCTGCTCAGGGCGAAAATTCAGACAGCAGAATGCAGAAGTTAAACGCCCTCCAAGCCCCACTACATTTATTTTTCCTGGCATTGCAGTAAGTGGGTTTTTGTATATTTTTCCTGTGTCTTACAGGTTAGTCTTTATACAATGCCATGGTTCTCACACTTTAGCATCTCTCAGATCACCTGGACTGCAGCCTGAGAATTTGTTTCTAGCCTGTTGCCTGGTGATACTGATGCTGATTTTTTCTGAAACCAAACTTTTGGGAATCACTGAGACAATATAGTTTTAAAAAAATAATACACGTGGGGTCATATTAAGGGTACCAAAAGTAAGATATTATCAAAGTATCAATTTTAGGGGCTGGGGTTGTGGCTCAGCAGCAGAGCACTTGCCTAGCATGTGCAAGCCCCTGGGTTCCATCTTCAGTACCTCATAAAAAATAAATAAATAAAGGTATTGTGTCCAACTACAACTAAAAAAATAAAACATTTAAAAAAGTCGGATTGTTAAAAAAATTTCAATTTTAATTAAGTGTAAAATTATATCTGAGTATTGTTTTGATTTATGGTCCCTGCATTATTTGGGAAGCTGAAGACTCACATTTTCCTTGTATTTGACTTCCTGTGAACTGTAGGTTGTATTCATTGCATTACAAGAGAAATAACAATATGGAAGAAAGCACCAGACCTCTCTTTGAAGGGTGCTGGCAGTTTTGCAGTGGTGGGGCATAGGGTGCTGATACGGGGAGGGAGGTCAGGGCATGCGTATTGACTGTGGGCAGATAGTATCAGAGCTTAGAGGTTTTCATGGGCCAAAAAAAGATTTTGGGCTTTATTTTGAGAAGTAGCATTGGTGTTCTCTAAGTTTATACTTTGGTGTGTCAAAGTTTCGATAGAATGGCAGGGTATCTTGTCTTAGTTCCCCAAGTCTAATGTTTAGTCTTCAAACAACTCCTTCTTAAGCCCTTTCTTTCATCTTGGGCTTTAAAGCCACCTGGTCATGTTTCATAAACAGGTAAACACAAGAATAACCAAAAACCTCATGCACCTGGATTGGTATTGTCTTTGAGGAAGGAGTTTTGCAAGATCTCTTAAAGAACATACTTGGTGGCTTTACCTGATGGGACCCTGAATCCTTCCTAAATTTGCTGACATCTGAGGGCAGTCTACTTTAGGTGGGTGGGTCCTTCTGTTGTTTTAATTTGAGTGAATTTCTGGGAAAAGCTATGGGTTTCAGCCAATATGCTAATGATAATGGCATTGCTTTGAAAGTCTGGTTAGTTCTGTAAAGAATCATTTCATAGTTAATTATGTTAGCAAATCAACAGCAGTCTCTTAAAGAGGAAAGCAATGGGGGAGAGACTACATATATACTTAAATTATTCAGAACTCAAAGAAGGGTCAACAGTTCAGTTTAAAAAGAGAAATCCATGTAAGAATAAATCACTAGGTTTGCATATAATTTTCCGTATGGGTGTAACTTTATAATGGGCATATAAGGGATTAAAATTAAATAGCTTTGCATGTGGAATTAGGAGACATCAGCCTCATCCTGTGTCCTTTCTAACATTTTTTCTGATTCTAGACAGAAGAGTGGGAAAACATCAAATCCAAACCTTGGCTTTTGATGAACTCAAGGAGGTCCATTGGGTTTGAAAGATAGACTGATGCGTTTGGGGTTCAGTGATGCTCATCTGGGCGAACTCCCTTTTTGTCTTCCTTCCTCTTTCTTCCTGTGCAAGTGGGACTTGTTGCTATGGGGAAAGACTGCTCCAAAGAGGAGGGTGGTGCATCAGCCACAAGCCATAGTGCTTCTAGACTCTCCAGAGAAAGAGAGTCCTTAGGGTCTTTTTATTTTAATAGATAGTTGACTATTCTATACATTAATAGTCCCCTCCTCTACAATCCAGTAATCCCTTATTACTGTGTTACATTACATGTGTTTGCCTGTACAAGGCTATAGGATTGATTGAGACAAAAGGTGATCCTTATTAATCAGAGCATCCGGGAGACTTTTCTAAAGTTTGTCTGAGAGGGATTTCACAGGATTAATGGACTGGAAATATCATTCCGAGTGTGTCCAGGATGAAGGCACCTTGGTTAGTGTGGAAGTCCTCATCATTTCAGGGATGGTAGGTAGAGTCTGACAATGGTTGAGACAAATGTAAATTCATATATCGCCTCTTCCTTCTCTAGGCTTTGTGACCATCAGCAAGAGATTGATCCTGTCGACATTTCAGCTTCTTCAAGTGTAGAACAACATATATCACTGTGAGTGTTATAAACATGGACTCCCCTCTCCCATTCTTTGCAATGGGAGGGGCTTGGGAGGGCAACAAAACAGGCATTAGGAAAAGCAAGGAGTTTTTTTTGTTGGAACCCAAGGAATGGACAGAAGAGATGGGAGGAAGTCAACAAGGGTTTCATGGAAGAAGGTGGGAGTGATCCAGAGTCTAATGAGCTCAAAGGGGATGTTTGTTAGTGGAGTTTTGGCTTTCTTCTGAGGAGAGGGGTTTTCATCTGTGATTTCCTTAGGAACTGTGTTGTGCATTTGACCACAGCCATAGTTAATTTTGTATCTTCTCTGTTTTGCTGTTTCTCTGTTGCAAATGTGGCTCTTGGAAGGTGTTATTTTTGGCCACCAAACGACTGGATCACCACCCATCCAGGGCTGGATTAGTTTTGATCCCTGTGGCTCCCACTTTATGAGGCAGACATGGGGATTTAGGGAAATTTGATTTTTCTTTTGGGATCCAACTTAAAAATTTTAAAAATAGCCAATTTTTCTACTGTCTTATTGATTTAACACCTTACCCTTTGCCTAGCTGCCTTACATTTATTCTTAGAAATAGGCTCAGTACAGATCATAAAATGCCCCCAAATAGGTCAGAAGTGGTGGCACATGCCTGTAATCTCAGCACCTTTGAAGGCTGAGGCAGAAGGATTACAAATTGAAAGCCAGCCTCAGCAATTTAGGTAGACCCTAAGTAACTTAATGAGACCTTGTCTCAAAATAAATCATAATAATAATAAAAGGGCTGGGAAGTAGCTCAGTGGTAAAGTGCCCCAAGGTTCAATCCCCAGTATAAAAACAAAACAAAATAAAAAAGCCTTGAAAAATATCAGGTTCTGATCTGGTTGATTAGAACTGTTGTAACAGTGAAGTGGTCCCATCGTTGACCAACTACGTTCTATCATGAAAGGTAGAGCTGGGACAGGGTGCTTTGGTTCCTAAAATGTAGATGGCCATGCCAACATGAAGCTGCTGTCCACTATATGCAATTTTACTTGGTGCATTAGGTTTGGCTTGAAGTAGGTATATTGGAAATAAGGAATCACCCTTTGATTTTTAAATTCAGGTCTTTCTTCAGGGGTGGGTAAGGGGATTGAATTCAGGGATACTCAACTAATGAGCCACATTCCCAGACCTATTTTGTATTTTATTTAGAGACAGGGTCTCACTGAGTTGCTTAGTGCCTTGTGGTTGCTGAGGCTGGCTTTGAACTTGCTATCCTCCTGCCTCAGCCCCTGAGCCACTGGGATTATGGGCATGAGCCACCATGCCCAGTTTAAAATTCAGATCTTCACATTTATCTCACTCTGTTTAGGCTGTTATGACAGAATACATGAAGTGGGTGGTATTCATTCTCACGGTTCTGGAGGCTGGGAAGCCCAAGGTCAAGGCTCTGCACATTTGGTATCTGGTGAGGACTGTCTTCTGGGTTGCTGACTTCCCTGTGTCCACACATGGTGGAGGGAACAAGGAGTTCTCTCAGACCTCTTTCATAATGGTGCTTACACCACTCCTAAAAGCCTTCTCTTATGACCTAATCAGCTCCCAAAGGCGCTACCTCAATACTATCAACACATGAATTTTGGGGAAACACAAACATTCAGACCCTAGCAATATCTGACTGTCAACTCTTAAAAAAATAAGAGATCATATAATTTTTGCTCCTTTTTCCCAGTCTCCTGGCTTAGAGAGGGCACTTCATATTGGAAATCAAGCTTTTAGATATGGTAAGAACACCCAGGAAAAAATAATACATATTAGAGGATTGTGGTGTCAGGAGGTGATTTGTCATTGGAAGTAGAGGTCTCCAGATGTGAGTGGGAAACCCTCAGAGTAGAGAAGGGGGTTTGTTGGTGTGTGTGTTTTTTTTTTTTATTTGTTTGTTTGACATTTGGATTTTCTTCTGAGTCTCTGAGAACTGTCAGTTTCATTATTTGTTCCTTCTCTGCATTATGGACTTTTCCTGGGCAGGAAGAATTTGGTGGGTAATATTTGTTGGATAAAAAAATGTCTTCTTTTTCTTTCTTTCTCTCTTTCCTTTCTTTCCCTTCTTCCCATTCATCCAAATCAAGGAGTTTCTACTTCTTAGTCTCTGAATCATGCAATCTTTTCCTTGCTCTAGTTCAGTTTCCTCTTTGCCCTCTTCCCCCCTTCCTGCGTTCCCTCTCCCCACTGTATTTTCTTTTCCCTCCCACCTCTTATTCTCCTTCTCAGACTCTTTAACTTGCTCTTGATCTGCCACAGGCCAGGTCTTCTGTTAGACATGAGTGCCAGACATCAGTGATGAGTAAAATATTGTCTAGCTCCCTTGCCTAGATAAGGTTCAGGTTCAGCTTCTCAGCAGCTATTTGGGATTGTTTCACTGTTATTCCCTTCCTTTCTTGCATTGCCAGAAAATGTACTGGTCACCCCAAATTTGACCAGAAGTATGCTCGTACTGCCACACACAGTCCATACCAGGCCACAGCTATGTCTGGATGGGAGATGTCTTGTGTAGTTGCTACAGACTCCACAAGTTTGGGGAACTCAGCATGTGTTTGGATTTCTTTGGAATCAGCATGGGGAACCTGACAATTTGTAAAAATCTCTCTCCCAAACTGAAAGTCTGAGGAAGGATTGAGAAGGGGGCCAGCGGCCTTTCACTTTAAGAGGAAAACTACCTGTTAGCAAGCCACTTCTTTTCTGCTGTGTGAATTGCAGGTAGAGCCAATGGAGAAGCACTTATTGTCACCAAATTAACTCTTTCCCTTGCATCCCAGCTCACCATTTTAGAGCAGTGAGATTTATTTAAAGAGGTAATTAATGCTTTCAGTTATGGAGAATGAAGTGGGCAGGCTTGTTGCTTCTCTTTGTCTTCCCAATCTTTCCAATCTCTGATTACAGTATAACCAAATAATAAATAAATGTGTGAGGCTCCAGTGTATGAGTTACCACCAGCAGAGTCCAAAGGTCAAAGTTGAAAGAGTTTTGAATTCCTCCTGATTCCTGGGACACTGCTTCTGTAGACACTATCACCAACAAAATCCATCCTGGAGGAGTGACCCTTTAAGAAACAGGATCCAAGGTAAGGTGAGCTCACCCACTTTGGAAGGATGTAATCCTGGAGAAAGATCTGATTGCTACTAGGTTATTTAGGGGGATAAAAGGAAGAAACAGTCCCCAGGTGGTGGGTGTTTAGCAGTGTATTTGTAATGTTTACCCCCTTCTGAGGATTCCTGAGACAGTTTTGCAAAGAAGGGCCTTAATTTCCAGGTCCCTCTTTCCTTTTCTGAAACAGCATTTGAACAGCTTGCACATTCGATGAAGAATTAGCTGCGAAGTTTGTGGTTTCCTGTGGCACATTTCTAATAATATTTATATAGGCCATTATTTAATGAACCGTTTAAATATTTATCATACAGAGCTGTTTTTTGATCATAAATAGGGGCTCAAAGTCAGCACAGCCCCTGCTGGGTCCCCGGGAAGAGAGCCATGTCAGCTCTTTGGGACGTCTGGTAGACTGAGGAGTGAGGTATGTCTCAGGATTCATGTGCTGAACAGCTTGAATTTCCCTTAGTATTTTACTTTCTCTTGGCTGTCCACAGTCTGTGTCTTTGTTTCTCTCTGCCTGACCACCCTTACTTTATCCCTGACAGCTTTTTTCTTTTTAGTATTCATTCATACCTAAAAAGAAGAAAATAGAACCAAATTTCTGACTCTCCGCATTTATAAAGGGGCTTCGGAGTCACACCACCGTGGCTTGGAATCCTAGGCCTCTGTGCTGTGTGACCTCAACTAGCTTCATCTCTGAGAACCTCAGTTCACTTAACTGGAAATGGGCTCCTCCTGGGAGCCCTATAAGGGTAGTCAAAGAGTCTATCAAAATTGTGAAGTCGTGTGGGTGATTTACAGAGCAAAGTTCAATAAATACGAGTTCTTGCTATATTTGTTGTTGGTGTTGTTATGTCACCAAAGGATTTGATTTTCAGTTTCAGCTTGGTGTTGTGGAAAGAGTCCCAGACTTACCCTCAGAAACTGGAGTTGAGATCCTGGTCTTGCTGTGTACTGTTTGTGTGACTTTGGACAAACTGCTCTCACTCCACTGGTGTATAGAATGGTGATAGGTTTGCCTTCCTGATTGGGTTCCCTGCATGCGGTGAACACATGTGTGGAAATGGTTGACACAATGAGGATCCTAATCCTTTTCTCTTCAAAACAAACTAGAAAAGGGAATAACATTTTCCTTTCTTCGGTTACTTTCTTTTGTGACTTAGAGGTACTGGTTGAATGGTTTGGAGTCCAGGACACAGCAGACAGTGCTTGCGACCCAGGGACAAAGGGCAGAGAAGGGGAGAACAAGGGATCTGCATTGCAAAAAATCCTCTGGCAGTGTTTTTGTAACTTATGGTGGGATTTCAGGGAAGCTGCCCAAGGGCTTGAACCTCCCTGTTTTCAGGTTCCAGGTGTAGAAACAATCAGAATGAGATTACTTAAAATTATAGTAGTGGGGAAAATGGTGAGCCTGAAAGATTTAATTAGGATCTTTTTTCTTAGAAAAACATGACCTCGGGGATTTGTGGGAACACTGCTAGGAGGGTCTGGTGCCCTTGTTCCTGTAAGGTTGAGTCTTTTTTTGGAGGAACTTTGATGGTGCATTATAGAAATAGAGGTAACCTAGGTTGTGGAGGGGGTCAGACTTTCAAGATGGGCAGCGTGTCTGAGTTAGCCAGCCTCAGACACAGTATGCATGGGCCCCTAGTGGAGATCCCTGGCTAAGAGTGCAGGAGTTTCAGAAGACAGCGGAACATACTGAGAAAGGCTGGGATCTTGGGCATGAGAGCTCTTGGCATACTAGGATCAGTTCAGGAGCAGCTCCCCAGGGACCTTTGCAATGGAGACAGTGGGAATCCAAGAGAGGGAATCCTGAGTAAAGTAAGATGTATGTAGTTGGTAGAGGGAACGTGGACAAGCTAGCTGGGTCAGTCTTCCTCCTGTTTGTAGATAAAGAAACTGAGGAATCTCTGAGCCAAGACACCCTCCATATTTTGTCAGTGACTGTATCCTTAGCAGAGTGTCCAGTGCCTGGTGCAACCAGCATTTCTTTGAGTCTCAGAAGTCACTGACTGCAAGATACATTGTTTCATATACCACAGAGAAAGAAAAAAAACTACCAATTGATTGTAAGATGCTGATAGTTACAGGATTCATTCTGATTTCATGGATGTTAAATGTGAAAAAAAAAATTAGTAGTTTTGGGCTGGGGTTGTGGTCAGTGGTAGAGCACTCACCTAGCATGTGTGAGGCCCTGGGTTCAATCCTCATCACCACATATAAATAAATAAAATAAAATAAATGTATTAAAAAATTACTAGTTTAGAATTAGTAAAATGTAGTTGTAAGCACTCAAGAAATATTGGCTAATTAGGTGAATAAGGCATAGAGAGATTTGAATAAGGAAAGCAGTAGTATATACATTCAGGTGCTGCAGAGCAGTGATTTGGTAAATGACAGGCTGCATGCAGGACAGTGGTATGCCACCCAGCCTGGGCATATGGCAGGCTATGTCATTTAAGTTTGGTTAAGTTTGCACTTTATGATGTATACACAACAATGAAATCACCCAACACATTTCTTAGACCTTGTTCCTATTGTTAAATGACAGATGACTGTATAAACACGAACTTAGGAATTCAAACTATTAAAACATGACCCTGCTCATCCTTGTTTTTCATTGATTCACTGATTCAGTTATTCAGTAAGTAATTATTGAAAACCAATTATATGCCAGACACTGAGCAAGGAGCGGAGAATGTAGAAATCAATAAGTTCGTTTTTTTGTGTGATTAAGTCAGAAGCAATCACTATTATATGAAGTTGGATATTTCCTTTCTTTCTTTGTTTCTTAATTGGGATAAATATCCAGGAAGCAGTAACTGAACATCTGCTGGCTGACTTTGTTTTAGAATCCCCATGAGTGTCTTGGCCAAGGAAACATTATCTTTCTGAAGTTGAAGGGCACTGAGTGGCTTCACAGGTTGAAATTGGACTCCAGTGCCGAGCTCACCTGGGGAGCTGTGGCATGTGCACTGGCCGGTCATCTCGGGAGCTTGCTGCACTCTATGAAAGGCCAGTCTGGAAAATGAAAGGCCTTTGGAGATTTCTGTGTATCTCAGGCTAATCTGACCAAGGGGAATGAGAACAGCCACCAGGGCCAAGAAATTCCTGAGTGTTTTCTGGTCAGATTTCCTTGTAACTCATCAGGGGTCCGTAAGGAAAACAGATTGTCTAACAAATTCCTAATCTTGTCTCCCCCCGGGACTGCTTCCCAATTCCTAGTCACTTCATGACCGACTGCAATATATTTGCCTCTTCTGCAAACCGATACTGTAAGCTTTTAAGAAAGAAAGGAAAGTGTCTGAAACTTGGGTTTGCACAGATGTGGGACTTTGAGTCCAGGCTGCCTCCGTGTGAGGCTGGGTAAATTCCTTCACTTCTCAGGGACCTGTTTTCTTATCAATGTAATGTTTTATGATTGCAATAATGTACATTTACTGTTTGTGAGGGCATGGACCTAGCATGAAGCATAAAGTAACATTCCTCTTAAAGTCTCACCTTGATCACCTGTTCACTAGAGATTTAAATATGCTTCCCTTCTAGAGTCATAGTGAGGCATAGAGGGAAGCACCTTTCACACTGCCTGGTGCATAATAGATGCTCAGTAGCTAATTTGTTGAGTGACTAGATGGATTTGATAGGAAAGGTTCCTTTTTAGTACCACAGGAACTGTCCTGTTGATTTAGCTTCACTGAGAACAAGTTCTTCTCTATTGCGTCCAGATTCTAAGTTCTCCTACCACCCTCTCTTTGCTCTTATCACACTCGTCACAGGTTTGCTTAGTTAGGTAGCTAAGTGCTTCATGTGACCCCTTTCAAAGAATCTAAATGCCATATCTGAGGCTGTGTCTGACTTGTTCACCAACTACTTAGCTTTGTGTGTCTAGAAACTTCTGTTGGACAAGTCCATAGTAAATGGCCGCTGCTTACATAGCCACAGAAGAATTTTGGTGGTGGTCTTTGTGGATTGGTCCTCATGTTGTGTTTGCACTTGCTCACTGCAGGTGGAGGGAGCACAATGTCTGGAGAAGAGGAGCCACGAAGCTACTACGTGGGCGTGGATGTTGGAACAGGCAGTGTCCGTGCTGCTCTCGTCGACCAGAGAGGGGTCCTTTTGGCCTTCGCAGACCAACCGATTAAGAAGTGGGAGCCTCAGTTCAACCACCACGAGCAATCCTCTGAAGACATCTGGGCTGCGTGCTGTGTTGTCACAAAGGTATGGGTAGAGTTGTGGTGTCCTCTCCTAGCACCTGCTCCCACCCTGAGTGTCCACATGATGCCATGGACTCTGTTGGGGTACCTGGAGATGCAGAGCTGAGCCGCACATAGGCCTTGCCTCCCGGAAGCTCACAGTGTAGTGGCAGAGACTGATAACACAGCTGAAATATGATGTGATAAGTGTCAGGAGCCAAGTAACAATGGCCAGAGCTAACCTGGAGTGGACTCTGGGAAGAGAGGAGAGGACGAGGAAGCTCGAGATGTGACCAGATGTGGAAGAAGCCACTGAGGATCGTAGTTGATCTCTACTGTGCTTTTGGGTGTAAAATGTGTGAACATGTATTGTGAGGTGGAACCCTCAGGACATTCCTGAACTAGTTAGTATTTTGCTAACCCCGTTTGATTTTCAATCAAGAAGAAATGCAGGTGCAGAAAGTGAGGTAACTACCTAAGTTCATGTATTTGGTAAGTAGTAGAAACAAGACAGGAACCTAAGCAGACTGCACTGTAATAGATTCTCCTGCCTCCCAAGTGGACAAGTGCGAGGAACTGCATTTGGTTCAGGCAAGGCATGGTGGCATGAAAACATGGTATGTTCTGAGAGGGCAAGGAGATTGGGTCAAACCAGAGCAGCTCTAATATGTGTTAGGTAGATGTTCATCTTGAGTGGTCTTGGATTGTATTGAGCATGCTGGCTTGGTGAAGGAATTGATGCTGGACAGCACTTGTTCACATTTAAAGTTTCACTTGTTGGTTTGACTTTATATCCTGGTAATCAGGAATATCAGACTTCCTTTTATCTTACCCCCCACCCCCCAGATGGAAGAATAAAGTCCTGGATTCCTTCTTATCCCTGTTCCTAGTTAGCTTCCTTAAATATTCATGAGGTGCTTGGTAATTTGCAGATGGACAATTCACCATTCTGTCCATATCGATCAGTCTTTTTAAATTTTCATGAGCTCTGGGCTGCTGTTAGTGCCCCTGGAGAAGAAGGCAGAGAGAGGAGGGGGAGGGCAGCACAAGAGCATTATAAGGAATGGAAGAGGGGCATCTTATCTTCTGCTTGTTTAATTGTCCTCTCCACCCTTCCTCCTCACCCCCGCCTTGGTGAGAGTCTTCTGCTTTTTGCCCTTGGGTCTCCTTTGTTCTTCTAACATATAGTTTTCTTTCCATTAAGGAAATAGTCAAGAAGAAAATATAATCCCCTGATGAAAAGCTCCTTTACAAAAGGTCTACTCTAAGTACAGCTTGGTTTAATGGTAGATGGCGGCCAACTCATCATCGGCTAGAGCCCGTCAGCCCCATAAGTGCTGGGGCATTTGTCCTTTGTGATTGCATCTTGCAACAGCAACCTGAGTACAGCTTTTGGTTCTTGGCCATTTCCCTCACATGGGTTTGTGACCAGATGCCAGAAGCCACAGGATAAGCATGCCACATCTATGGGGACATCATGGCTGGTATGAAGTAGCATGCCACAGGACATACACTCTGAGCCAGACCACCCAGATTGACATCCTCGTTCCAACAGTTGTGAGCCTGTGATCTTAGACAATACTGCATGTTTCTTACCTCAGTTAGCTTACCTATGAAATGAGACTGGTAATAGTAACCTCCATAGAGTTATTGTGAGGATTCAATGAATGAATGCATATAAAATACCATAACGGTGTCTGGAAATGAGCAATCACTGTGTTTCCTATGGTGGTGAGTAGATTGTGGAGGAGAATAGAATGAAGTAACTCAGCCATCAACACCCCAGATCAATCCCCAGAACAAACAAACAAACAAAAGAATGAATTTCTGAGATAAAATCCTGAGTATCAGAAGTCCAAGAAGGAGATACTCTTGGAAATATTCACCTATTTCTCTCTGTTTGGGGCTCCTTCTGTATAAGATTTTGAGAAGCTCTGTCTTAGGGCAAAGGGTGGCCTAGCACATCCTGACTTGTCTTCTCTTTCTCTTGGACTCCAGCAAGTTGAGGGCAATTGTTTACTTCCAGTTCCCTAGGGTGTTCACTTTGTGGGAGGTGATTTTTCTCCCTCAGTTAAGATAATGATGATGATGATGATGATGATGATGATGATGATGATGATGATGATGATAGTGGCGATGTTGTTGATACTATGATGATGACAATAAGGACAGCTTATATTCGTTGCTCATTAATTATGTTCCAGATACTATGCTGGGTCCTTTATACCCATCACTTCATTTTATCTTTACAAGTATCTTTTGAAGTAGCTTTTATTCTTTGTCTTAAAGGTGAGAAATAAAAGGGCTTTGAAAAAGTTCAGTAGCCAGCAGAGTTCTCATAAGGAGTAAGAGCCAGTGCTGGGTGCTGCTGTAGTCACCACTGCCCCTTGTCTGTCTCTCCAGCCGCATCCACTTGCATGATGCATGCCTGGGAATTGCATGGGCCAACCTGAAACTTGCTGGACTTGCTGCAGGGTAGGGCACCTGAGCTGAGGTGCAGCCATGCTAGACTACACTGCCTTGTCCTGGCTGTGTGCTCATGTATGAGATGTGTGCCCCTAAAGTTGGCAGGTCTTTATTGGGCCCATATCTAGCACACCTAAAAAGTTCTGTAGAAACACGCAAATCCTGGAGAACATGTATTAGTCCTTGATTTTAAAATCTGCCTTTTTTGGAACCACAAATCTTAATCATTCCAACAAGGCAGGGAACATTGCAAAGTTAATGTATGACTAGGATTGAATTTCCTTTAGGAAGAAGGAAAAGATAAGCTGGAAGAATCATTTAGCCATCAGACATTTGTTGAGTATCATTTTTTGATTTAATCTGCAAACATTTTTTTGAGCACCTACTATACACTTAATTCTTCTTACGTCCTAGTACCTATATGGGAAAAGTATACAAGACGTTTTCTGCTCCTACAGATTAAACAGCTTTTATTTGCATGAAAAACAAAAACAAAAATACATATGAAGCTAGTGAGGTGCCATTTGTTCTGGGTTGGTACCTGCTACATGAGAAATGGTTGTGGGAAGAAGGGGGCAGAAGAGAGAGAAATCCACATGGGGTTGAGCAATAACATTAACTTTGTACATTCATAGAATTATTAAAGTTTACAGAGCATCTTCATATCCATTATCCATTTGACCACATTTGACCATCTTTACAAGTTAAGAATTTATTGTTGTTTCCCTTTATAGGTGAAAAGAAAAACTGAGAGCCAGATGGTTAAGTGACTCTCCCAAGGTCACTCAGATAGTATTTGACAATCCTGGACCCAGTCTGGTCAAATCTATGCATTTTCTTCACCTCCAGCGCCATAGACCTTTATTTTTTGCCTAGACTATTTTAAGGCTGCTGATGTCCTTGTATTTCTTTTCCCTTCTGTGATCTTTTCTTGGCAACTGGAGTGACTCTTTTTCTTGAATGCTAAATTGATCATATTGCTCTTTTGCTTACAGTGCCTTGAGAGCATCACACTAATGTCGGCTAGAAGTAAAATATGGGACCTGCCTGCAGGATGCTTCCTGCCTGCCCCTGACCTGTTGTCCTGTTCATGTCCTGATGCTTCTCCAGGCTCTCTGGGCTCTAGCCACTCACTTCATCCCCAGACCTGCACACTGATCCATTCCCCTGCATGCACACTCACCCTGCCTTCCCCTAGCACACCTGGACTAGAGCACTGGCGGAGAGAGGCAGGGAGGGGTGACCCTGAGAGGCTCTGGGAAGGAAAGTCTCCTGGGACTTGGTGACAGTGAAGAAGGGGATCGAGGCAATGTCAGTTTCAATTTTTGAAGAACATGGGGTTGCTGATATAAATGGAAGGCTTTGACCTTGGTTTCTTTGCCTTACCATCCAGGGACAATACCACACCTAAGCTCACAGGCTGTGTAGGTATTAGCTTGGGACTGGATTTACTCGTTTCTCCAGTCATTAGAGTAGGTTTTGCACAGTTGATTGCCAGCACGACCTTCCCTGTAACAGGTACCCTGCATAAGCCCTGTGAGTCTTCCTTGCTTTTCCCATCTCACTTTGGCACATGGATTGTGCATCTCAATTGTACAATTTTGGGCTTTGCAGTGGCTCTTCCCCTGGTGGGATCACTCCTCCACAGGTTTTCACAAGGCCTTCTCCTCGATCCTTCAAGGTCTTCCTCAAATCTCATCTTCTTAGGGACCACGCTCCCTTCTCTGGCACTCATGATTCCTCTGATCAACGCTTTCTGGTATATTACTTCTATACTACATAGTTTAGATGATTTATTGGCTATTGTCTAGCCTCACTAAAATGTAATATCCAAAAAACCAAGGATTTAAAAAAATATATTTTTCTCTCCGTTGTTTCCCAAATATCTAGAAGAGAGCATAGCTGGACCTTAGAAGGGGCTTCATTATATTTTCTGAGGACTGACTAAGTGAGGGTTTAAGTATGTAGGCAACAAAGAAGGATGGAGCCCAGGGAATGGGGATTGCATAACTCCATGCCTGGCCCTGAAGCTAACAAAGGCATTCAAATCCATATTTAAAGGAATACAGTACTAGCCATAAAGACATGTGTTGCAAGCTGGATTCTGTCTGAGAGGCATAGGATTTGACCCTTGCTCTAAATAGAGCTAAAAATAAAACCAGGTATGCATGTGACCTTCTGGTTCTCAGTTTGGAAGGTTTCTAAGAGACACTACCTCCCCACCCAATATGGCAGAGCTTGCTGATTCAAAACACATGCAGGATTGAACCAGTTCCCACAGAAAGAACAAAGAGATGCACAATCCTTTCCCCAAATATTTGTTTGCTGCCCCAGAGCTACGAGTTGACAGTTGTTAGACATGGACCAGGTTACCAAATGAGTTTGCAGAAATCTCCTTCTCTGGAAATTCTTTAGAAGAGCAATGTGCTTTCTCTCTAGCCAGGGAAATTCTCTTGATGCCAAGTTGTTGGGGGTGAGTTTACTAAGCTGCTTTCTTTTCCCATTAATAAGAATATAAATAAAAATCCTCAGGTCACCGGGTCAAGCTCCAGAGAACTT